ATAAAAAAGATACAATGGAGTGTAGCAATAATACTCGACGTTTACATTTACGTGGATTTTTGTTTGGATTAATTTATATTTTTGTTTTTATTGGTGGATTTGGTATCTTTTAGGGACAAATCTAGAATTAGGTGTCCAGGAAGCAAAAATGACCAAATGGTAAGAAAAGAGTTGCAATTAAGAAAATAAAATCAAATTAGAAGAGAGAATCCCTCAACATCTTTGGTAGTGTCCATGAAGTCGAGCATAACTCTCTCACCCGGACTCCAAATCGACTAGTTCCGGTGGCATTAAAAAGCTATTTCAGTGGGCTACAATTCCCGTCTAACGTGAAAATTCCAAATTCGGACTCGAACATGGTCAAAATTGGATAACAAATGCAATCATGAAAATACGTACTACAATTCAAGGACGTGAATGCGCATCAAGAAACGTGCACAAAAACACTCGCTAGAAAAGATACTGTAGCACCCTCAATGATTTATAAGAAATATTAGAAAACACGGACTTTATTAAAAACTTTTTGGAACAAATTTGAACTTTGAGAAAAACCACTTTAAAATTTAAGAACCATTTCCTTTTACTTCAAATCTAACCCACAATCGGAAATAAGGTTTTTCATAGAGAGTGTACCATAACATGAACGGGATTTTGAAAATAATCTCGAGGTGGCGGAATAATCCACATAAAACATTATCGGGGTTTAGAAAACATTCGAGAGACAGCGGAAGGAAATAAACTTTATTTAAGATACCCCCGTTTAATAGACTGGGTTCCCAAATCAGAGTACAAAATGAAATCATACTATGTTGATTAGTTTTTCGATAAATCGTTGACGTGGTAATTACGAGTAAAATAATCTAGGCACCAAAGCTCGTGATTCCTCGAACTCCACTCCGCCGGCCTCCTAAATAGCTTGGAGAACCTGAAAAGATAATTTGCATAAAAGCATGAGCCCAACCACTGGCTCAGTAAGGACGTTAGTCTTAGTCTGACGAACTCACGCCTCTCTCATCGCATCTCTCACGACCTATGGGAGTCCTAAAGTATTCGTCTATGTTCTTTTCCGTCTATGTTATTTTACGTCATAATTATATTATGCTATATTATTTCGTCGACGTTAATCACGACATATAATCACATCGCCAATAATTAAACATATAACTCCGCATATGAGCACATAATAAAAAAGTCTGGTTTTGCTTTGAAAGCCATTTGAAATTCACTTTGAAAATCATGTGGGGATTCGTTTTCCTTTAGAAATCATTTCTTAGTTCATTTTGGAACTTGTCTTGTACAAAATATCCCTTCCCACGAAATTCCCCTTTTTAGAACGAAAGCCCCTTTCCAAAACTCTTTATAAAACCATTTATCTTTCAAAATATTTCGTATGCAAGTATGCACTTGTTGGGATCCCTAACGTAAGCATCGGCAATAGACGTTTATATGCTGAGCCCGGTCATTCGGTGGGAGCTAACCACCCTATAGTTCTATAGTAACTGTTGTTGGGATACCGGCCCCCCGTATCCCGTGTCTATTCAACCGTAGCAACGTTACAATTTTGACTTTTCTATAGTAGACCATGCAATACCAATTAATGACTCGATGAATGCACGAAAGTCCAAGATCTTAATAGCAACACGATAATAATTCCAATTATATCATTCACGTAATTCGAAGGAATTAAATCACATAATTCGGAAGTAATTTCCGAGACTATAGTAAGCACATAGAGATCAAACATTAGTAATAAAGACACATATACTTTTACACGTATATACACATAGGCACTTATACGTATTTATATACATATACGTATATACTCTAATTTATAACTATGGGTTATAAGTTTCCTCAACCCGAAGGGAGTACGCCTATAACATCATAGATCTAAACTATCGATATACATATAAATATACTTATACATATACATACTTATACCTCATAAGAGTAAACACATAATTCAAATACCGATAATGAAATTCAAAGAATCATCGGAAATCAAATTCATTATAAGCACTAGCACATAGTAATTTCGAAGAACAACCTATTGTTCTAATCATAGATTAGTCTAAGCATATGTCTTAGATGTAGCTCAATACTCATAGGTAACTTCATCTATGTTCAATTATTATGTTAAGTTATGCCTCAAGAGTTTAAACCATGTTCACAAAGGACCTTTTGATTCAAGTAGTTTACTCATAGGAAAATCGGACAGTTTTGACCCTTTAACTTCAAAAATCCATTTCTCTTAGACCATAACTTCAAAAACTCTGAAACTTTAAAACAATACTCCTATATCATTGGAAAAGACTCCTTTAAAACATTGTTTCAAAATAATAAGTAGACTAAGAGAAATGAGTAAAACAGTGCAGTAGTGTGGTCACACTTTCAGAAACAGAACCAACCACTTTAAAAATACCCAATAAATCACCCTTTTGTTGAAACACTGTAAAACTTTGCAGAAAACTGGTTTTATAAGTTATAATTATATTCCAAGTAGAATCAAGGAAATCAAACCAGGAAAACATCGATTTTAAAAGCAAATTCTCAGCTGACACAAAAGCTGTGCAGGTTTAGTAAATAATTCATATCTTAATCATCTGAAATCCGATTGATGATTAAAATATATCAAATTAAAGAGAACAAAAAGATCTAGTTACCCATGAAATTTCGTGATTTTAGGAAAACAGGGCATCTGTGAAACATGCAGTAAACTCCGAGACTGAAAACCTGAAAATTCATTAGTGATCTATATCTACATCTTTGATCAAAACAGATCTGGCAGTTTAGGCACTATAACTTCAGAAATTCATATCTCCTAAACCGTAGATCCAAAGCTGATAAAATTTGGAACACATGTTCATATCTAAGTCTAGTTTATATGGTTAAAACAGTTTATGAAGAAACTTATCCATGTAAGAGATATAAACAATTTAGTGCAGTAAGATAAGCAGAAATTTAGAACAGATCCACTAACTTTAAAAATACTCATTAATTCATACCTTTACTTAAACACTACCAAATTTCGTGCAAAGTCAGTTTCATACGTTTATAATCATATTCAAGTGGAATCAACTCAATAAGATTAGTATAAAACGCTATATAACACATAATTCGTGGATGACTCCGAAACTGTGCAGATTCAGAAAACGATTCATAACTCACTCAATACAAATCCGATTTATGCATAATTTATATCACAATGAAGCTAACCGAAAGGTCTAGACAACCATAAAATTTCATAATTTTATCTTAGGGATTACCCGATGACACATGCAATACAATCAGAAGCTACCAAACTGAAATTCAAGTAGTGTTCATCAAGAACTTTATCTTCTAAAGCTCAAAATTAAAACCTCAAACATAAAATTCATTAAAACCCATATAATTTATGTTAATTAAGTTATTATTTCAGTAAAGACCAAGGTCCTTACCCAAGAGCAAGAAATCTAAGAATCGAAGAAGAAGGAGTAAGAAGACCAAAGGCTCGGTGGATTTTCGGCGGGTTTGGCTCGGATTTTCTTGGATGGCTTTGGGGCTGAGTTTGAAGGATATGAAGGGGCTGTTTCTTGAAGAAAGAAGATGGAGTTTCTCTTTTCGAGAGGAGAGGAGATGAATTGAAGAGAGAAGAGGAAGGGGCTTTGAGAGGAGCTTCTTGAAGTGCAAGAAGAGAATTCTTCTTGGGGGCTTTTGGTCGATGAAGAGGGAGAGGGAGAGGGAGAGGGCCTTTTTTGGCTGATGTTTGGTGTGAAGAAAATGTGAAGAGGAGGGGTTTATTTATAGGGGAGATGAGGCCCTTATTTGCAATATAAAAGACATTGGGGTTTTATTAGCAATTTGGGAGAAAATACCTTGGGGCTTCTTAGCAATATAGAAGAGAAGAGGGGAGTCCTTTGTAATTAATAAACTTAGGGAGTAATTCACTTTCCCTCACACACAACACACGGCCAATACACACACACTAAAACATATAATTCAAATAAATTCCATGGCATACCAATTAAATTGTAACGAAAACTAATTTCACATCATCTTAATCCTAGATTAATCATCAATTAAAGCACATCATTAAAATCCATGGACTAAAGTACATAATTCATTAAATCACATAATTAGAATCAACTACTCAATTAATAATAATGTCTACTTCTAATAATACTATAATGTATCTTAATCACATAAACACATAGAGAACGTATAAATTGCTACTCGATTCATGAAATGCACGTATATTCGTATTTACTATATGTTCAATATAATTGATATGCCTATTGGGCCAACCCAATAGACCCATATTTACTGGGCCACAGGCCCAAATTAATAGTTATTTATACGAAGGCCCAATCATACCCAAAGAAGGTTGGGTCCGATAAATTAATCTCGGCCCAATCAATAAAGTATAAATACAACTTAAATTCATTTTATAAAGGTATGTTATTATATTTCACTAAAATCTTCTATTCAAATTCTCTCTACAATTACCAACTATCTTCACGTCTAACTTGAGCGTCGGAGGGGTTTCCGCCGGATCAACCCCCGGCTTAGATTACGCGTTTTCTGTTCGCAGGATCCTAGAGTAAATTAAAGTTCTCAGGATTATCTAGCTCGTGAGCACGTGACCTACTTTGCTCTCCCAGCTTCAACACACAAGGTGATTTATTTTTTACGTCATCATTTTGGCGCCGTCTGTGGGAATGCAGACCAGATCACGTAGCCAGCAAGATCCTCCTGAGTCCACTCGGAGAGAGAGTGACACGGCTAACAACCTCCCAGTTCGAGGAGGCTCTGGCTTACCACCTCCTCCACGTGCTCCGGATCCACCACGTGAGGTTCAGGTGATTCCCCCTCGGGATCCACCACTCGCCGATCCTCCACTACAGGCTCCACCTCTACCTGCTTCTCGAACGGTTCAAATAACCGAGGAGGCACTCCAACGAATGATAACAGAAGTTTCTACTCGCGCCGCCACTGATGCGGTGGCGCAATATATCGCCACGATGGCAGCAAATGCTCCCCCCGCGATCCCAGCTAACGCTCCCCCCGTGATCCCAGCTAATGCTCCACCCGCAATGCCACCCAGGGTACAACAACCGGCCCAGAACAATGACGATCGGATAAGTGTATCCTCATCCACCTCAGATCCAAGATCCCGGATGCAGCTATGTACCAATCACAGGGAGCCACAACCCAGACAACAACGCCACCATTCGCTCCAACGGGGTGATGCGTCTCTACGAAGAGCTCATCTCTTTAATGAAGGGGAAGACGAGATAAATAGTAGAGTATCTCGCCAAAACCAGTTCCCCAGATTGAACAATCCAATTGACGGAAGAGCGCCAGTCCCAACAAGGCGCAGTCCTTTCACCCTAAACATCCTCAACGAGGTATTGCCTCAAGGAGTGAAAGTATCGGGCTTACCTCAGTTCGAAGGAACTACCGACCCGCAGGAACACATAGAGAAGTTCCACGCTATGGCAGACCTATATGGCCCGACAGATGCAGCAATGTGCAAGATGTTTCGCACCACTCTATCCAAGAGAGCCATGAATTGGTTCAACGCTCTGCCCACAGGATCAATTGACACTTTCGCTCAGTTGTCATTGCGTTTCACCAACCAATTCGCCATCAATAAGCAATATGCTAAAACTCCAGCACATCTCTTCTCTATCGTACAGAGAGACAATGAAACACTCCGCAACTACATCAGGCGTTTTGTGGAAGCTGTTCATGAAGTTCCCAGTGTAGGACAAGATATGCTCTCAGGGATTATGCAGCAAAACCTGAAGTCGGGTAGGTTCAAAGAATCTATCGCAGGAAGACCTCCTGGCAACTTAGATGAGCTGTTAAATCGAGCTGAAAAATATATACGCATAGAAGAAGCTTCTGCCAATGCTCCTCCCAAGAGGAAGAGAGAAGATGACCGCCCTGACATTAGGAGACGAGATGATCGACGTCCTCCACCCCCACCTCAAGGCCAATCATCTTCAACTTATAATCGATTCACTCCACTCAATACTCGCCTCACCGAAATACTTCATGTGATTGAACAAAAAGGTCTGGCAGAGCCTCCACGCCCAATGCAACCCAATGCGAAACGAGAAAAATCGGATCGCTATTGTCGATTCCACAGAGATAAAGGGCATACTACTGAGGAATGTGCGCAACTCAAATTGGCGATTGAGAGGTTGATCAAGCAAGGCCACTTAAGCGAATATATTGATAAGCCTCGAAATAAGCGTCGTGATGATCTTCCACGCCGAGATAACAATCGAGATCAACAACAACGACGAGAGGATGGGGGTCATCGGCGCGACCCAGATAACAATGATAACCAACCCACCCGAGGAATCATCTCTTTTATCTCCGGAGGACCGGCAGGTGGCGACTCACAAAATGCGAGACGCACCCTCGCTCGATCAGCACGCATGAATCAAGAACATGCTTCTCCATCCGCATCCGTCTATCAAATACGAAGACCTGATCATGGCATAGTCTTCAACTCCTCAGACCTTGAAGGACCAGATGAAGATCATGTCGATGCGTTGGTGATAACTGCAACGGTGGCCAACTTCATAGTTAAAAAGATACTAGTGGACGGTGGGAGCTCAGCCGACATTATGTATCTCCACACATTCAAGCAGCTAGGCATAGACAACGCACGGTTCAATCCCATCACTACACCACTGAAAGGATTCACGGGAGAAGGTGTTTTATCCATGGGGGAAGTAGAGTTACCCATCTCCTTAGGGGAAGATCCTTGTCGAGTAACGAAAATGATAAAATTCCTTATCGTCGACAAGCCATCCCCTTATAACATCATCGTGGGAAGGCCCGCGATCCATACATTCAAGTCTGTGCCTTCATCTTACCACCAAAAGTGGAAATTCCCCACTCCTTACGGGATGGGAGAGGTACTTGGAGATAGGCGTCTCGCTCGAGAATGTTATGCAAGAGCTCTACGTGAACCCTCTAAGAGACCTAATCCTTTAGGGAAAGGAGACGACACCCCGAGACAAGATAAGCGAAAATGGGTCAACGCGGTCATCGAAGCTGATAAAGAAATCCTAATCAGCGTACCCGACGACACCGCCAAGCTAGCCGCAGTTGAAGAACTAAAATCAGTAGAACTCATACCCGGAGATAATTCTAAGCTTCTCCGCATCGGCTCTGATCTAGATCAAGAAGTGGAGAATCAGCTAGTTAACTTCCTTAGGCAAAATGGAGACGTATTTGCTTGGAAAGCTCAAGATCTAACGGGAATTCCTCCGAAAGTAGCATTGCATCGACTAAACGTTGACAAAAGATTGAAACCGGTCAAGCAACGTAAAAGGACTTTCGGTCCTGAGCGCAACAAACATATCAAAGAGGAAGTGGCAAAACTCTTAGATGCAGGCCACATTAGATCGGTTCAGTATCCCGAGTGGTTATCCAATGTGGTATTAGTACCTAAACCCGGAGGCAAGTGGAGGCTATGTGTAGACTTCACCGACCTCAACAAGGCATGCCCGAAGGATCCATTTCCCTTACCAAGGATCGACCAGCTCATAGACTCAACCTCAGGGTGCGAACTTCTCAGCTTCCTTGATGCATATCAAGGATACAACCAAATATTGCTCGCCCCAGAAGATCAAGAGAGAGCTAGTTTCATTACTGACCAAGGCATCTATTGCTATCGAGTTATGCCGTTCGGTCTCAAGAATGCAGGAGCTACTTACCAACGCCTGGTGAACACGATGTTCGCGGACTTGATTGGTAAGAACATGGAAGTGTACATTGATGACATGCTTGTCAAGAGTATTAAAGTCGCGGATCACCTAACCGATTTAAGTCAATGCTTCTCCATCTTACGTAAATACAAGATGAAGCTCAATCCCCTAAAATGTTCTTTTGGAGTTCGAGGCGGAAAATTCTTAGGGTATATGATATCACAACGGGGAATTGAAGCCAACCCAGCAAAGATTGAAGCTATCACCTCCATGGCCCCTCCCACATCGATTAAGAAGGTCCAACAACTTAATGGTTGTTTGGCAGCCTTAAACCGATTTATATCCCGATCGGCTGATAAGGGTCTTCCTTTCTTCAAGATACTAAGAGGTGGGAAAAAGTTTGAGTGGAACGAAGACTGTCAAAGAGCTTTCACAGAATTGAAAGCATATCTCACTTCCCCACCTCTACTAACGAAGCCCCAGCCGGGAGACACTCTTTTCCTATACTTGGCCATTTCTGCTGATGCCATTAGCGCAGTGCTCATTCGGGATGGTGAAAAAGGTCACCAACCGATATATTACATAAGCCGAGCTCTCCAAGGCCCAGAGCACCGCTACACCAATATGGAGAAACTTGCTCTCGCGCTCATCAATGCAGCCAGAAAGTTACGTCCGTACTTCCAGTCGCACCAGGTGATAGTTCTCACCAACTATCCCCTTAAACAAATATTGAGAAGTCCCGAGACTTCCGGACGATTAGCTAAATGGGCTATAGAGCTAAGTGAATATGGGGTTGAGTTCAAACCACGCCCAGCCATCAAAGCTCAAATCCTAGCAGACTTTGTAGTAGAGATGACTACATCGGAAGAGAGCACATCCATACCCACTTGGGCCATCAATGTTGATGGATCATCTACCGCTACAGGAGGAGGCGCGGGTATTGTACTAACAAGCCCAGATGGCGATGAATTCGAGTATGCTAAACGGTTTGATTTCAAAGCCTCCAATAACGAAGCCGAATATGAAGCTTTGATCGCTGGTATCCGTCTCGCTTTAGCAGCTGGAGCTCGCAAACTCATAGTACACAGCGACTCCCAGTTGGTGGTCAACCAAGTCCTTGGGAACTATGAGGCCAAAGAAGAATCCATGGCAAAGTACCTTGCTCTTGCACTTACCCTCCTCTCAAAATTGGATAGCTACGAGATAAAGCAAGTACCACGAGCCAACAATATTGATGCAGACAAGTTGGCTAGACTTGGTAGTTCCATGGCAAGCATTGGAAGCCGGAAAATCACCCTTCTCACGGCTTCCCAACCAGAAATAGTCTCCACCGACGGAGTGAATTGCGCTGAAGAGAGCGAACCCTGTTGGATCACCCCCATTACAAACTATCTCAAAAGCGGGGAACTTCCGACTGACATCGCCCAAGCGAAGAAAATAAAGGTAAGGGCGGCCCGTTTCCTAATGATAGGTGAAGATCTCTACAAGCGAGGGTTCTCCTCCCCCTATCTTAAATGCCTTAACCCATCAGCAGCAGACTATGTGCTTCGGGAAGTACATGAAGGCATTTGTGGTAATCATTTAAGTGGAAGAAACTTAGCTCTCAAAATATTGAGACAAGGTTACTATTGGCCCACCATGCATGAAGATGCGAAAAAACTAGTGCAGAGATGCAAACCTTGCCAAGAACACGCTAACATCCTTCATCTCCCCGCAGCATTGATGCAACCGATTGACAGTCCCATACCTTTCGCTCAATGGGGAGTTGACTTGGTCGGTCCTTTTCCACCAGCAACAGGAGGACGCAAGTTCCTCATTGTAGCTGTAGATTACTTCACCAAGTGGGTAGAAGCAGAACCTTTAGCTCGCATTCGAGAAGAAGATGTCATCCAATTCCTTTGGAAAAACATTGTGTGCCGCTTCGGCATTCCCCGTTCCATTATTTCGGACAATGGAACACAATTTTGTGGAGACAAAGTCAAGAGTTGGTGCCTTGGCTTATCTATTAAGCAATTCTTCACTTCGGTGGCAAACCCCCAAGCAAATGGTCAAACTGAAGTAACCAATCGCACGATACTTCAACATCTCAAGACAAGGCTTGGAAGTGCCAAGGGAAAGTGGGTTGAAGAATTACCCAATGCTCTGTGGGCATATCGAACAACCCCACGAACAGCAACAGGAGAATCTCCATTTAACCTAGCTTTTGGAACAGAGGCTGTAGCACCCGTAGAGATTGGCGAACCCTCTTGGAGAGTCATCAATTATTCACCAGAGGAGGATGAAGAAGCAATGAGGGCTAACCTCGATCTCGTCGACGAGCTAAGAGAGATTGCATCCATCAGACAGCAAATGTACAAGAGTCGCATGGCGAAAGTTTATAACTCCAAAGTCCGCCCTCGCTCTTTCCAAGTAGGAGATTTAGTTCTCCGCAAAGCCGAAGCCTCACGCCCAATCGGTAAACTCGACCCGAAGTGGGAAGGACCATATAAAATCACACAAGTGATTAACAATGGAGCATATCGTCTCGAGAACCTCGACGGACACCCTATACCCAGAACCTGGAATATAGGGAATCTCAAAAGGTTCTACGCTTGAGGTATACATCCACCTTAAATCAAATTTGTTTAAGTTTACATCTACATCTTCCTCATACGAAAGTCGCCTTGCAGGCTTCACAACCTTCCACGTCTCTCTTCATGCAAAAATGTCTCTAAAAGCTCGAGAAGGGACTCCATAACGAGGTGTGTAAACATCCCTCCCAAACTGGGGGGCTAGTGATATTATCTACATCAACCTTCCATAACACGTCTCATCATCTTCTTACAGATTAAGAGCCAGTTACGAGAGGATGCTTACCGACCACCATTCACCCAAAGAGAGAAGATACTCTGTACTATCTCACTAAGGGTAACACCACTTTTACTAAGTCATATCACAAGCACATTAGTGGGTCTCTATACTAAACAATAACGCCATCTCCTTTGACAGGCAGGGTCGCGCAGCAATCCACCGCAACTCATGAGTTGTTCTCATATCTCGGAATGCGAGGAACAGAAAAAGTCCCAATATTGAGTACGTGATCCCAAATACGCATCACTCCAACTTATGAAACTATTAAGTCTTCAATACAAGTACTTGAATTTTTTTTACCCCGATACTTTTCAGGCAAAGAGACACCAAAAGACAGTAGACATACTACCCAACACCAAGCACGGATGAGCACAAGGAAGACGTGGAAGAAGAATAAAATCTCTTATAGTCACATAGATTACTTTTCAATAGTTCAATTTATTTGTTTTTTACGAGTTATTTCCCTTCGCCTCACGGAAGCTTATGACAATTCGCATTTCTTATTAATGATTAAATCAAGTTTTTACTTTACTCTCAAAGTTATTGTTCATATACTACTTAACCGTTACGACGGGTTCATCTCACTTCAACCCTAAAAACACTTAGAGAAATTAAGATAGTCCATATAGCCTGGCCAGCTGGATTATCTGCGTCTCTCTATTTTGATTTTCAGGGTCCTCATGCTTAAAACGTGGCCATGGACTAAATAATACTCCGACCTACGAGGTCCAAAATAAAGGGCACGATCCCAAAAAATTATAAAAAAATCTTGAGAGACTGATCCCCTCATCAAGAATATCTCGAACAATGCTATATGCAAAACATTAGTGCGAAATCAATGAATAAAAAGAAACAATAACTTTGATAGCAAAATCAACGTCTCAAGGTGCAAACAAATACCAAGTCATGAAGCATGCAAAAATACTAGGGGACATACCCACTTAATAAAAATAAAAATAAAAAAACCAAGTCTTTTTCTAAGGAAAATAAAAAAGACATCACACCAAACTACACTTTACGAGCAGAAGTAGCTTCGGTAGTTCGGTCATCCGCTTCCGCATCCGAGGCAATTTCAGTACACTCGACATCAATATCCTCTCCATCATCTGGAATGTCCTCCTCCATGCCTCGAATAATCTTCTCGTCAATACCACCTACCTTGCGTAAGTACTGACGACACGTCCTAACCAAAGGAGCATAAACCCCATCTATTGCTCGTTCTTCGATCATAGCTCGACAGACTTCACTCTTCTGAAAACGACGTTCCCCTTCTAACATAACCGACTCCTTGTAAGCAGCTCCAGCTGAGGAAGCCAAAAACCTCTTCCCCGTCAACTTCTCAGCATCATACTTCTCCTTCAGCTCGTCATAGCACCGATCTAATTTCATCAGTTCAATTTTACTCGCCTCGGTCTCGCTCCTACTAATCTCCAATTCATCGGTCCTCTGAATGAGCAGAGTCTCGGCCACCTCTAGTTTGGTTTCCGCAGCCTCCAATTGAGCCTTTAGCTCTTTCTCCCTTGCCTCCCAACCAGCACGCTCCTCATCATGGGTCTTTTCGACTTGCTCCTCCTGCTCCACTAGATACCTCCACGTAGCTATAAGCTATATCAAAATTCAAACAGAAAATATTAGAGTATGGAGACTTATAATCTAAAACGAAAACATATTAAATTAAACAAATATTTACCCGACACATGTCTCCGCCAGCCAACGAAAGCATATGAGCACGACCTTTACCCGACATCCGACTTCGGTCATACTCCCCAACGAAACCCTCAGTCTTCTTCAGCGCGATAGTATGATCGGTCGTATCCCAAAAAGAATCCTTCCCCTCTCGGTTCACCCCATACGTGAACAAGCATTTGCCTGCACCCCCTGGAGGCACATGAGAAACCTCAGGATCCACTCGAGGCCGTTTCGGTGCAGGCACATACTCGATCTCAACCATCTCATCCTCCCCATTATTAACCAATCGATCCAACTCACCCCCCTCAACATTATGATCACGATCATCTCCGCTTGCATGCAGAGCCTCCACGCGGGTCACTTCGCGCGATTTGCTACTACTGGATTTCGCTTTCTTCAAAGGATCCCTCTTCGCTTGCTTTTTCGCACCTCCAGTAGCTTTCTTCCGAAGAGCAGCAAAATCAATACACCCATCTAAAAAAAAAAAAAAAGCACGGCGTTTAAACTACGTTTC